TTTTTTTAGGAAAAATTTGGTCACGTGACCCCAACTGCAAAGGGCCTATTGGTGTGAAAGCGCTGAGTTGGCGTCCATTACCGTAGGGTCATCATCTGTGCATGTGGCTTGTCTGTTCGCGCAAGGCACAAGGCCCATGCCATCTGGCAAGAGAGTGTTTCGGTACTGGAAAAATCAGAAACTTAAGCAAGCACATTTACAAGGTAATTTTTAATTCTTTTGTAAAGCGTTTTTTTTTCTTAGTATAAGCGTACAGGAAACTACAAAACGTCTGCAGGCTTACATTAGCACCTACAAGAGGTCAGGCAGTATAAGATTAGCGTCGACTTGTTTCTCGACCGGGACTGAAAATGACAAAAAAATCAAATCAAATCAAATAAGTCGAACAAGTAAGCTTAACTTCATTGCTATGAACTAAGCCTGCTCTGCTGTGCAGCGATGAAATATCGTAAGAAATTAAGCTCAAGTTTGATTTTCCGTTAGCTGAACTAAAGTAAGCTGTAAGCTGTAAATTTAAAAAAGTGTAAGCTTAATCTTAAATATCTTATGATTGTTTGAGCAAAACGAACGATATTGCACAACGGATCACTGTTAAAATTGCCAAAAGGCAAGTCACTGTTAAGTTTAGTGTTAATGTTTAAGAAGTTCCACCAACATTTCGAATATGTTCTGGTAAGTTCTTATGTTGGCAAGTCTCCACGCTGTTTACATTCGTTTAGCAAGATCACTGTTAAAATTGTCAAAAGACAAGTCACTGTTTTAGTTATATGGTTAAGTTTAGTGTTAATGTTTAAGAAATTCCACCAACATTTCGCATATGGTCTTGTAACTAGTTCTTATGTTTGCCAGTTTCCACGCTGTTTACATTCGCTTCGCAAACCCAAAAGTGGTCAATATTATGTCTGCTGCTCGCTGTCGTTAACCGAGTCGCCGCAATTAGTGGAAAATAGAAGGAAAAAAAGAAACAAAACTAAACAATTCAACTGACCATCAGAATTTCTTCTCGTAGTTTGTGCTTTAGCCTTAAATTTGTTCGTGGAGATCAGAACCATTGTTCGCTATTGGGTTTTTGTCATATTTTTCATTTTTCCTATACTACACTCGCTCCAAGTCAGTTCGCTCCAACCAGAGATCGCTACACACAGGGCCGAGTTCGCTACCTCAGCTTACCGAGTTTGGCTTGGCAGTGGATGAAAGAACGAGGAATATACACGCGCGTTGGAGCGAACTGACTCAAAGCGATCTATAGCTATAAACCATGGAGCGAAGTGATCGGATACCTTCCCTACACAGTCGATTTGCATTCAGTCTTCTTACTTTACTCGCTATAATTTCTGCGCTTACGTGCATTAAGTTAAAAGGAAGTACGTGCAAGGATTCAGATTCTGTTGCTTAGTACTGAATAGAAAAGCAGTTACTCTGTTGTTGAAAGAACTACATATAGTTTAGTGTTGAAAATCATATCAATGGTTGAATACTTACATGTACATGGAATGTTGTCTCATAATTGGTTGACGTCGTCATCATCTTGTACGGTCAGTTTTATTTCCAGTTTCGTCGATTATTTTCGACATCAAATGTTTCTAGGAGGTGGTAGGTTGCTTCGTGGATTAGCTAAAATTCCGTAAATACA